GAGACTCTTGGATCAGATTCATTATATTTAAATATTTACATGTACAAATATATGTTTGTATTTGCATAGATCTTCCTGAGAGGATATATAAAAAAATAAACCAATTGCCTCTGGGTGGGGAAGACTGGGGACAGGGAGGGGAGCAGCAGACAGGACGTGAGACTATTCTTTTGTTCTTTAAACATTTTTTTTTTTTTTTTTTTTAGCCATAGGCTTGTATCCTGTTTTGAATTAAAATGGGCAAGAGTTTTGACAGATTTGCTAAGCGGAACTGGATGAGGTCTTCCTGTGTGTGATCTTGAACCCGAGGCTGGGGCTGGAATGGGTTTTCTTATGGCCCCCAGTGGCCGGGGGCGGGCAGCTGGTGGTCTGAAGCCTGAGGGCTGCACCAGCTTCGTCACATCCCTGCCCAGCTCTAGGGCACCTCCTCGGGCTGCCGCTTGGTTATAGGGTTGGAACCAGCCCATCTCTGCCGGCTTCTGGTTTTTCCTCATCCACCCCTGGAACTGTGATGGAGCACCCCCCGCACCAGGTGGGGCTGTCACACCCCAGCCTAGAAGCAGGACCCCAAATTACAGAACTACACCAGCCAGAGGGAACTTACAGCCTGGCAGGTCTAAGGCCCACAATTCATGGATAGGGAAACTGAGGCCCAGGGAGGGACAGTGACCCGCACAGCATCAGAACTAGAACCCAGGTCCCTCCTCCCCAGGCCAGAACTCTTTGCATCTAGCAAGGGGCAGGTGGCAAGGAGAGGCCCTCCTGCTTAGGTAGTGGGCAGAGGGTGAGGGGTTTAAATGGGTATCTTTGATTCCTGTGGGGACCCTAGACAATCTGCCTGCTGATGGGGCTACTTGGTAGGAAATTACCATCCCACACCTGACTCTGCCCACCCTTCCCTGCAGTGCTGCCCCACCTCAGGCTGTACCCCCTTCCCTTCCTGCCCCCCCCCCACAGATGAGAGTGAATGCTGCAGACACCCTGGGTCCCAGGGGAATGATGACAGTCTGAGCGGTGGTCTATGCGCATGTGTGTGTGAGTGCACGATGACACTCGGGCCCGCCCCGCTGCGCCATAAGCTCCCAGAGGACCTAGGCCATAGGTGCTCCCTACCCGTCGTGGGACAGCCAGGCGACACCTGGCACACACCCCAGAGCCACAGCTCCCTCAAAGTCAGAACAGGCAGGGCCTCTAGGTACCTCATACCTCAGGGCATGGGAAGGTTAAAAAGGGGTCCACGGCCAAATACACCGGGGGCACCCTGTATTAATATGAAGAGACAAGCTTCTTGTGGGACTTCTCAGAGCCTTTCATGTGCTGATGGACACTGTGAGTCTCTCACTATGAGACCAGAGGGTACTTTCACTCCAAACTTCAGAGATCACAGCATCCACCATGAAGCAGGCACTGCAAGCTGGAAAATGCTGGGACTAGAACTCAGCTCGCGGGAAGGCCTGACGACCAGCTAACAGGGCCCCTGCCAGCCACAGGGCCCCTTTGTGCAAAGTAGAAAAAAAACACCCCTTCAAGCCATCTGTGGGAAAATTAACACCAATATGCTGATTTTATTAGAATAGGACATTTACTGCCATCTGCTGGAAACATAGTAAATACACAAATCTGCAATCTGTGAGAATGGCACCATTCTCCCCTTTAGGTATTTAGAAATGATACTCTTGTCCAGTGTGTCACCTGCCCAGCCATGCATAGCGGTCCTGAGTCCAAAGTCACGTGATCCCAGCCCACCCACCAATCCTTTTCTACGTGCACCGTTATGTTCCAGGTGAGTGCTCTAAACTGACCTCTCAGCCTCCACCCTTCAGCATTTCTTGTAGGCAGAAAGGGATGCTGGGGGCTTCATGTCCACTTATCACCTAGCCCACAGCTGGCTCAAATGACTGACCCCTGAACATATTTCATGAATGCTTTATGCACTGAAGGTGTCGACTGGGGAGCAGGGATTGGGATGCAGATCCAGCCCGGGCTCTACCTTGCTGTGTGACCGCAGAGAAGTCCTTATCTCTGTCTGGGCCAATTTTCCTTTCTGTAAAATGAAGCAGTTGAGCTTGATCGTTTCCAGGAGCTCAGAGAGCTGACAATGACCACCCGATCCAAACCCACAGAACTTTGAGAAAAGCAGGAAGGTCATCCCAGTTGCTGATTGAAAGGCAGGAAGACAACAGAATACAACTGGAATTTTTTATTAGACTAGGAAATATAATTTATTTTGTAAAAATTAATTTTGTTACAATAGGAATGCTAAACGTTATGTACAGGTTGAAGTTTACAGAATAAACAGCAGTGGGATCGGGCCATCCCCGCAGCCCTACATCCCCGGGACACATAACCATGTCCACGGCCCAGGCAGGGGGGGCCAGCCCTTTGCCCCCAGCAGAGCTGCTCCCTGCACCCAAACTCCTGGTCACCTTCCCTCCGAAGGTGTACTAAGGGACCTGACCCAGCTGCCTGGTTGCTGGGAAAAGGGGACCAGAGGGTCCTGGGTCTTCCAGGAGATGGAGAGACCCCCACACCCTTAGGAGGACCCCTGGTCTCTGCGAGAGAAGGCAGAGGAGAGGCACGTAGAAGATACACTGACTGACCCTGTGGCATCAGGGAGGTCACACACGCACATCCGGGTGGGGACGTGTTCCTGGGGGGGGGAGGCAGGCAACCTGATGTGCCTGCAGACAAAAGCACGCACACCCGGGGCACGCACACACGCATGCACGTGCAAGCACATCCCAGCGATGAGAGAGACACAAACACCCACTCGAGGCCCCTGCAAGCCCCTCGGGGGCCCCTGATCTGCCTCTCATGGGGCACATGGGTCATGTGCGGCAGCCGCCTAGGCCTGAGTAAGAGGAGAAATCCTGATGCTACCCTAAGGTGGGCGGTGTGGGGCTGCAGCCACGGCAGCCTCAGCAGGGGACTGATGGATGGAGCCAGCTAAACCTTTCCAGGCGTTTCTTATAAAGCTGGACAGTTTGAACCCTCCCAGGAGGCTCCAGCCAATTGGTTCTGTGCTCCAGGCCCTGGTACACACTTTCTGGAAATCAACTGAGAAATGGCACATGGGTGGCTGGCCTGGCCTCATCCAGCAAAAGCTCCCATCCTGGGTACTGGGCAGGCAGGGTGGAGGAGGGGCATGGCAAACGGCGGCCAACCTCTCCCCACTAGGGTTCCCACTAGAACCCTAGAACGACCATGTGTCAGAACCCAAAGGGAGTCAGACAGCTGCGGGTATGAAAAGATGAGGCCCAGAGAGGGCAGTCCTGTGCCTGAGGCCACACAGCAGTTTAATGGCACAGCTGGAGCTTGAGTGCTGGTCTTTGGACTCCAGGCTGCCCGGGGGCCTTTTAGAGACGGATGGGAAGGGCACCGGGAAAGCCTCTGTGGCACTGGTTAGGCTGCCGTCAAGGCCATGCTGTTACACAGGCCTCCGTGGCTCAGGCTAGGAGGCACTGGGGACGCGGAGCCCACAGCGGATGGGCACCCTGGGCAGGGAAGGCTCGCTGCCTTTGAGGCAACACCACACAGGCAATGGGGTCAAGAGCTGTTGCTGCCCCACCCCGAATGCAGGCCTGGCCCCTTCAGCAGCCCTGATAGAAGAAATCCTCTCTCAAACCGAGCAGGCCTCTGTCTGCCTGCGGCTAACCTACCCCCCAGCGGGGTCGGTAGGTGGTGAGAACCCCCATAAGCCCCAGAGTCCATGGCAGGGAAGGGTAGGTTGGGGACACCGCCTGGGACTGGAGCTCCCAAACCTGCTTTCCTCCCAGGAGACCAGGCTTTCAAAGGCCAGGATATGCCCAGGCTGGTCCCAGCAGTTGCTCATGGACCTGCTGGGGCAAGCCCTGGGGTCATAGCCTGCCCAGAGCTGTCGGGGGTTGGGGGGGCTGGCACAGACTTTGCCCTGGGTGCGAAGGAGGAGAGAGAGGCCTCTGTGCCAGTTGTAAGAGCCAGGTCCCAGCCCTTGTCAGCCAGTCAAAAAGGGACCTTGATTTGATGGCCCCTTGGAGCGTCCCGGAGCAGGCTGGCAAGGGGGTCCTGGCCCCTCCACTCTGGCAGCCCTGCCTGTTTAAAGCTCGCTTCAAGACCTCCCAGACTGCAGAGGGAGGCCAACAACCGGGCTGAGGGAGGTGCCGGTGGAGGTCAGAGCTGGGAAAACAGCCCTCCCCAGGTCCTCCTCCAGTGCGGGGCAGGGGAAGGCGTGTAGAGCCCAGCCGGGCACCCACCTCCCGGACTGCAAGGCTGACTGCTGACATGTTCTTCAAAGCCACACCGAGGCCCAGAAGCTCAGGCTTCTGCAGTTAGAGGCCCTCTTATCCATCCCTTCTGTTTTATAGATGAACTTCCCCAGCCAACTGAGGCTGGGGAAGACCAGTTTCTGGATTCCTGGGCATTAACAGAATGCCAGTGTGCTGCAGCCCACCTAGTCTACGAGCTGCTAGGTGGAGGGATGACCTGGCTGGTCCCATCCCGGGGTGAAGGAGAGAAACGTCCATAGGAGACTCTATCTCCCTCCGCCCCACTTCTTTCTCTGCTTGGGCCCCACCCCCTTCTCCAGGAGCCACCAGACTGGGACACTGGAAACACCATCCCTGACTCGCAGCTGGGGCGTGAGGCCTCTTAATCCGGACTCCCCAGGAGCCCAGCGAGGCCGTGGGGCATCTGCCTGGGGAGGCGGGTGGGCGGGAGGACCCCACCCCACTCCAGACCTCAGGGCTCCTTGGCTTTATAGATTCAGCATCTGCTTACGATTTTAGAGGGAAATACGGTACCATGGCTAAAACCCCATTTGACCCTGTACAACTGGGGAAACTGAGGCCTTGTAGGAGTTAGTCTAAGACGGAATCCTTAGCAGCAAGGTGTTCTGTCTCTCTCTCCCTGATAATCTCTCTCTCACACACGTGCACACACGCACACATGCTCACTCCCGGCCAGAGCCATGAGCAAGCCCATACTCATCCACACTCAAGAAAAGAGTTTTCTATTTTTTTGTGTGTGTTGTTTTTCATTTTCTTTTTTTTTTTTTTCTTAAAAAGGACTTATCCAAATATCTGGATAATAAATCATGTGCGTTTCCTAAGAAACTGGGTTTTTCTTTTCCCTTGTGGTTTTGGTGTTGCTCTTTTTCTTCTTGGAGCCGGACTGGCAGTCTGAAGTTTCTTTCTTCCTTTACTTTTCCTTTTTGCTTTGGCCAGGAGAAAGCAGTTCATGTGAATTGTACTTGACTCTTCAAAGAGGAAAATGGTGTGAAAGGAGAAAGGGGCTCGGGGCAGGGGAGAAACCAGGAACCGAGGGAGAAACTGAAGGACGAAACTTAGACAAACGTAACCCAGAGCTCCCGGGGCGGCAGTAGCAGGTGGTGTGGAAGGAGTTGGTGGGGGGGCCCCTCCTGGCCCCCTGGGCTGCCTCCGGAGACCTCCTGGGGGTTCCCTGCAGAGATCTGCCGGCAGGAGAGACAGCCAAGGGCAGAGAAGGAGCACTGGGTCCTCTGGACAACGGACTACATGGATTTGCTAAGGCTGGTCGTGGTCTGGAGTGGGGCGAGGGGAGGAGGAGAGGGTGACTCCGGCTGTGAGCTCGGGGACAGCATAGGCCGCCCCGCCTCTCACGAGGCTGCCCGAGCCTTCCCATGCCCGCCTCCTGCCCGCCCTCCCAGCGCACGGTTCCGGGGCCGCTCAGCAGTCCCCGTCAGTGGCCACGGCCACCAGCACCTCACTCTTGCCCATCTCCTCCAAGGCACTCGCCAGGCTGTTGAGGTCCCCGTCGTCCTGCTGCAGAGCTTCCCAGAGGTCCAGGATCACACCCGTGGGGCTTGCTTTGGTGGCAAAGTAGTTCAGGTACCTGGCAGAGGGAAGGAGAAGGCCGTTGGGCTCCCCAGACACCCAGCACCTCCTGCGAGCGTGGAAATGGAGAGAGCACTGGGAGGTGAGAAGACCCTGCGGTCCCACAATCCTGGGTCTGAACCCTAGCCCCTCTGCTGGGGGGCTGTGTGGTCCCAGGTTAGCCCCTGCTCCTCTCTGAGCCTCGGTCTCCTCCTCTCTAAAATGGAAACTGTCTTGCTCATCATCATCCATCATCCCTGTTAGTACTGCCATTGAAAGACACTGGCCCCAGGAGAGATTGTCCAAACCTAGGCTTTCATTCTTTCCTCCTGCCACATCCGGTGCCTGCTTGGTCTCACCACCCCCACGCTCCCCCGAGAGCAGGAACAAAGCCTTAGACACTTTGCAAAGCCCATCCATTTCTAGTAAGCTGTCTTGTATGTAGCATCTGCTCAACACAGGTTTATTAAAGGGTTTCTCAGTAAGTATGTAATAATAAGGACTATTGTTGCCATTATATTTATCCAGAAGAACTTTTTAAGTTCCCCAGAAGGGTTTTGACATGAAAATATACTCTGTCACTCCGCAAACATTTCCAGAACACCTGCTCTGTCCTGGGCATGGGGGTGCAGATGGTGATTACACCTGGTGTCCCGGCTTCCCCTGATTCTCACAGGCCAGCACCCTGAGCCTGGCGCTCCTCAAGGAATGGGCTTCTCGGATTTAGCACACCCGAGCCTGAGCTCCTGATCTACCATGGATGGAAGGATGTGCCCGGACTGTCGGGCTGCCTGCCCCACCTGCCCCTTGGGGACAAAGGGAGGCTGGGGTGGGTTGCGCCCGGCCCAACACCCACCGGTCCATGGAGAGCTTCTGCGCCAAGAGCCGCCAGTCATTGCCCCGCGAGTTGGGGGCGTCCAGGCTGTTGCATATCTTTTGGCGGATGGACAGTGGAATCTTGAAGGCATAGGGCCCCAGCTGGGTGGTGACCGTGCTGCCAGGGGCAGAGCAGAAGGCGTCCAGGGAGCTGGCAGGCGTCTGGAAAAGCAGGGGCAAGGTGAGAGGGGAAAAGCCCCCCCACCCCATGCACAGCACTGGCATCCGTCCCTCCAACCTTCCTGCCCGGGACTGTGAGCTCATGGAGGTTCTGGTTACTCCCCACGCTCTGGGCAGGCTCCAGCTGCCCAAAGACCTCCTCCCCTGGAAGCTTCCAAGGTCCAGGGCTGCATGCCCAACCCCCAGCCCTTGGGGCGCACCATGCTCACGCACTGGCCCAGGCTAATGCCGATGGCCTCTCGTGATTACAAAGGCACAAGGAGCCTCAGCCACGGTCTAATCCACACAGGGCCACTTTTACACGTGTGGAAATGAAGTCTAGAAAGGGGAAGTGACATGCCCAGGGTCACATGCCAAGGTAGGGGCAGAGTGGGGCCTAGGCCCATAGCCAGCGCTCTTGACACCATGCTGCAAGGAGGTTCTAGCACTGCTGTCCTGGGTGGCCTGGGTTTTGTAAACCTCAGTCTGGATTTATAGTGGGGGAGAACGGCAGGCCTGCGCCAAGTGCTGACTGGATCCAAGGTCAGTGGTCTCTGTCCTCCCTAGAACCCACTTTCCGACTTAGATGTTGCTACAGGGCCAAGCACAGTAAGTGGTAGCTCTGAGCAAAACTGCGCAGGTCCCAGCTCAGACCTGGGAGGTGAAGGGAACATATCTTTACGGTAGACAGCACTCCCCCGCAGCTGAGGCGGGACCACGGGGGTCTGAACGCTGTCCCCCCCTGGCCCCACAGAGTGTCTGGCCTCACCTCTGCCAGCGTGGCGTGCAGCTGGAAGATCTGGCCTTCCCCTTCCACCTGCCGCACACAGATCTTGCAGGTGAGCTCTGTGGAGGCCAGGCTGTGCCTCTCCAGGGTGAAGGTGCAGTGCAGAGCCTTCTGGCTGCCACTCCAGATGTGACAGAAGGGGATCTCCTGAGGGAGGGGCGGCAGGGTCAAGGATGGGAGGCGAGGCTGCCCTGCCCTCAGAGGCTGGTAATGAGGCCAGCCTCAGGGAGTGCGGGGACCTCTCAGTGGGCAGTGCAGGCCTCTCCATTCAGACAGGCAGAGGAAGAAGAGCTGGTCAAGGGCCCTTCAGCTGAGCAAGGCAGCATATGGGGGAGAAGGCACAAGTCTGGATGCGTGAGTGTGTGTGCAAGGGTGCGCATGCGTATACGAGTGCATGTGCGCACGTATGTCCGGGCTGGAAGCCTTGCAGACTCAGGAGTGTTGTGCAGGTAGGTGCAGGCACAGGGGTGTGACCACTGGAGATTCCTCCGCAGCGGTCTGCCAGGCATGAACACTCTTAGAGATGGTAAGGCCTCTTTGAAGGGGATGTATATAGACATTTGTGTTTGGGAGTGTGCCATGGGGTGGGCACTGAGCGTGAGGATGTGCCTCGGGATGACTGGGAGTGTGGAGAGCGAGGTAGGAGGGAGACAGAGACTGGGGGTGGGGGCAAGCCTAGAGGAAGGAGGCAGGGCCAAGGCCTGGGCAGGGGCACTGGTCTTCCCTGGGCAGGCCCTCAAATGTTCCCCCCTCCCCAGCTTCATTCCCCTCCCCCAGCCCTCACCTGGTACTTGGCCAGCAGCTTGCTTCTCCAGTGGGCATGGGGGATGTCGTGCAGAGAGAGGCGCAGGTTGTGGTAACTGTCTTTAAACAGCAGGGGTTTGGGCTCCTCCACTAGATAGCCACCCAGCGTCCGCTCCAGCTCCAGCACCTCCTGAGGACCAGGAGGCAATGGGAAGGGGGAGCCCATCACACTTGGCCAATGGGTTCTTCTTGCTGCAAGATGGGGGTCTGGGGACACATGCGGGCAGTGGGAGCCAGGCTGTAGGACTGAGGGCAGGCATCCATCGGAGCACAGGGCCAGGCATTTGGTAAGGGCTCAGGGAAGACACACTGTGTGAATAGATGGATGAATGGACAGATAATGGGACAGATGGATAGATGACTGGATTTATAGATGACTGGACAGATAGATGGATGAATAGATAGATAGAAAAATGGATGCATAAATACAGGCAGACAGATGGACGTGTAGACGGATATACAAATGGATGGGTAATAAATAGAAGGACAGATGGAAGGAAAGATGAATGGATGCTTGGTGATGGCTGGACAGACGGACTGCTGAGTGAATGAGTATACAGATAGATGGGCAGCAAGCTGGATGGATGATGGATGGATGGACGAGCGGATGGACGGACAGATGGGGACTGAAGAGATAAGGAATGCCATCAAGCCAAAATGTGGCAGCTCCCCTCCTGGCCTCCACTCCATTCTCTGACCAAAGCTGGACCCTGGCCAACGCACCAGTGCTGAGGGATGCAGGCTGCAAGAGCATTTCCCAGAGCCTCCAACCCATTCTGGGCCTTCTGGAATTTCAGGCCAGCTTAGCCCAGCAGAAGACATGCACTCTCCCATGAGGCCTTTCCACCTGTGCTGCCTCAGTCCGTGACTTGGAGTTTGGGACAAGTCACGTGCTACTGGGAGACAGGAACCGGAGGAGACCACAGACCATGGGTGGGGGGAGGCCTGGAGCTACAGGAAAGGGACCAGAGGCTTCACAGGGGGATGGAAGGAGGGAAGAGGTTTACACGGGGCCAAGGAGCCGTGTTCTTCCAGTGTTAGGATGAGCCTGAAGTCCTAGGAATGCGGCGGAGGGCTGGGGAGGCAATGGGTGGGACTTAGAGGCGGGGGCGGGGGGTGGGCAGGGTGCTACTAACACAGGTCCACACTGCCACCATCAGGCTCTATGTGCCCAAATCTGACACCTTCACCTTTCTGCCCCCACCCCGCCCAAACCACTGGCACCTGCCACAGCCCCTCCCTCATGCAGGGACACCGTCTGTCCTTTTGCATATACTCAGAACCTGGCCGTCAGCCCCCACGCCTCCCTCCCCTCCCCCTCCCATCAGTCACTGGGTTCTGTCCATTCTGCTAACACAGCGGCCAACCCCGTCCTCGCGGCTGTCACTGCCTGGTGTCCAGGGCCCAGTTGCAGCTTTCAGCTGGCCTCTCTGCCTCCTGTGCAGCCATTCCCCAGCATAATAGCACAGGGGCTTTCAAAAGAGCGCCTGTGAATAGGGGTCCACCGTGTCTATGCCGCCGCCCACTGGATGGATCCCAAATTCCTGCTCATGGCTCCCAAGGCTGCTGGGGAGCTGAGCCCTGCCCACCCCTCCAGCCCCATCTCTCTCCCTGTCGCATACACACAGCCCCTGCAGGCTTTGGCCACTCGGAACGACACACCTGCCTTTGTGTTAGCGGCTCTGCCTACCGGAAGGCCCTTCGGCCTCCTCGGCCTGGCACCCCTATTCAGCTTTCGGAGCACGGGTCTAAGGCTAACTGTGCTGTGAAGCCTTCTCAGACCCTCCCCCTCCCAGTCGGGTGCTCCTCGCCCTCCGTCAGGGAGCCCCCTATCTGTCTCCCCCTCCTCTAGCCTGGAGCTTGGTGAGGGCAGAACTGTGCCTGATCCCTCTCTGTATCTTGAGGGTCTGATGCCATTTCAATGTTGGAGCAAGGAATGACCGATTCATGAGGCTGATGGTGGAAGGGGGCTACCACGATTCCGGGGTGGGGGACACGGGAAGGCGCGGCAGCTGGTGAGCCAGGGGTGCTGCTCTCCCAGTGTGCCAGTGCTGGGCGGTACTGACGGCCTGGCCTTACCTTCAGGGCCGCGGGTGTGTCCTCCAGGCAGTAGACCCTGAGGCTGTACTCCAGGGAGGTGCAGAGGGTGGGGACGAAGATGGCCAGCTGGAGCCGCTTGACAGCCGAGCGGGAGTAGGACTCACCCGTGAACACGTAGGTGCCCAGCTGGTCCAACAGGATGTGGCAGGACCTGGCCTCCAGCTGGCAGTAGCAGGGGGTGTTCAGGGTCTCCTCGTCCAGAGTCACCACCTCCTGCAGGGTGAAGCACACAGGTCACGGCCGTGGAGAGGTCCACCCAGGTGGGGCCAAGAGAAAAGGGGCTTTCTCTCAGCTTTGGAGGCTTCCCAGAGCAGGTTCAGATAGTGGGCCCGGCCTCCCAGCCTCGGCTCCTCACCTCCCAGTGGCCCTGGTGGGCCTGGGTCTTGAGCTGGAAGATCCAGTCACCGGCGCTGACTTCAGCACAGTGGGGTACCGTGAGGATGACGGGACGGCACAGCAGGAGGCCCGTGGGCCCACAGGTCACCGAGGGGCTCAATACTGTCTGGGTTCCTTCTGAAAGCGGGCTGGGGAGATGGCAGAGGGCAGGGGGCAGACAGTGAGGGGAGGCTGGAAGCTCAGCAAGGGCTGGGACTGGTGCGGGGCTCCCGCCTCTGCCCTGGCTCCTGGGTGGCCCAAGGCAGGTCTCCACCCCCCCGGGGCTCCCAGAGGTCAGGGGTTAAGGAGAGGCAGAAGGATGGCACAGGCCTTAAGATTGTTCTCAGATTTCTGTTGTTCATGGCCAAGTTCTCACAGCCATATTTTTGTTCGCGTTTTCAAGGGTTCTGTGCTCTTGGGATGTTTTGGACAAGTGTTTGCTAAACTGCCCTCTAGAAAACTGCTACCGGTCTGGGCTCCCGGCGGCGTGTCATGGAGGGCCGAGTCCCCACGCTTTCGTCAATATGAAGTTTTTATCGTATGAGAAAAACCCTATAAATTCAAGAAGTAAAAAACTCCTAATATCTCATGGCTGTTTGAATTACTATTTCTTTGACTACAAATTAGGCTGAATATTTTTTCATAATCTACCGGCCTCTGCGTGTGTGTGTGTGTGTGTGTGTGTGTGAGGGTGTGTGCATCAGAGAGAGTATGTGTGAATCACTTCATATCCTCTGACCACTTTTGTAGTGAAATGTTCAAAGCCTCTTTACCTAGTAAAGATATTAACCTTTTGTCCTAAGGTAGCTACTTTGTCAATTGCCTTTCAGTTTCGCGATTTGTCCTGCTGGTTTTGTATGTAATAAGATCTGTCAATGTCTTCCTTGGAGGACTACCTCTGGCCTTAGGATCAGGGAGTGGGGGATGGTGATATCTGAACCCCGGGTGGACAGGCAGCAGGGAGAGGAAGAGAAGGGGGGCAGCCCAGGCTGGAACTGAGGTCTCTCTACTCACAGGGTGTTCTCTGCCTTGTTGATAAGGAGGTACATCTCATAGAACTTGCCCTGCGGGATGGCTCCATTGGGCACCAGCAGGCTGACCCCTAGGGGGAGAAGGAGGTCAGCAGGGAGGGGCTGGAGGGAGTCTAAGAGCTTAGAACAGGGGTGGGGGAGTGGCTCCTAGCTTAGGTCGGGGCGGGGCGGGGGGAGAATGACATCTCCCGAGATCCAGGTGGTCAACAGCAAGGGGTGGAGAGAGAAACTCTGGGGATTCGGTACAAGGACAGCCCAGGTCACTGACAGTGGTGAGTTTGTCGGGTAACACAGGGGCCCCTGGCATTGTGAAAGGGTATAAAGATGGCAAGGACTCAAAGTCAGAAGGCCCCAATGCCAGCTCCAGTCCCAGATCCGTTTGAAACTGGGAAACCATCAACTGATGGCTTTGCAGCCTGAGATGGGCAGCCCTGCCTTCCCAGTGGGGCTCTGTAGGTCTGTTGAATTATGAAGAGATGTTCTCTCCCACTTAGCAGATGAGGTTCCCCTGCCTTAGTGGGCCAGAGAAAGGCCTGGACCCCAAGTCTTCTATTTTATTATCATTCTCCCCCCCGGGCCTCATGTTTCCCATCTGAGAAAAGGGATCAGGGAAGTCCTAGCTTCTATCGGTGAAGGGGGTGCTGGGGATGCCTAGAGGGGGCACGCTGAGGCCGGGCTGAGAGGCAAGCAGAGCAGGAGCCCACCTGTGCCCGGGATGCTGAGCCTCCCACCCAGGCAGCCGAAAGTGCCGCTGACGCTGCTCCCCGGGTCACGGGGCAGGCCCAGGAGCTGCTGGGGGCCGAGGCTAGCACTGCGCAGGTGCAGGAAGTGGGCATCCCGGGTGAGATCGCCAGAGTATGTGCCGGGCGGCAGGACCCCCAGCAGGTCGGCCCCATCGGGCAGGCCCGGCCCAGAGCCGGTGGTGCTGGAATTGTAGACCTTGATCTTGAGACTGGGCAGGGGGTCGAGCAGGGGTGAGTTGGTCATGGGGATCTTGTCGGCTGAGTCCTGCAGGGCATACACGGGCCCGCGGTAGATGCCAGCACTGGCCGTGAGGTCCGGGGGCACCGACGGGTGCAGGAGCTGGGGATTGTCTGCAGGGGTTGGGGCTGCGGTCAGACCCAGCTGTGCCTCACTGGCCGGCTCCCACCCTCTGCTCCTGCCGGGGGCCCTTCTCTTGCCAAATCCCACCCAGTGTTCAGCTGCCAAAGGCTCAACTGCCATCCGCTGCAGGAAGCTTTGGGGACTCACCACCTGGGCTGCTCCTCTTCCCTGTGTCCCTCTGATCTACACTCATCCAGTTAACTGTAGAGCAAAGTCTAGGAAAACCCCGGGAGGGATCAGGAGCCTCCGCTGCGGTCTGGCTGGTCTGGCCGGCTGCCCTGCCCCTCTGGGTGCCCCAGCCTGCATCTGCCCCCCCCCGCCCCCCCCGCCGGGTGTCCCCAGGTGCTTACTGGGCCTCGCAGTCTTGAAGTTGACGGGGTGGAAGCCGCCAGTGAGTGCGGCGGACGAGTCAGTGATGTCGGTGTCGAAGTCCCGGCAGTTACGGCGGTACACCACCACCCCCACCACCATGAGGACGCCCACGACCACGAAGGCGGACACCACGAGGCCTGCGTACAGCGCCACGTCCCCCGAGGCCTCCAGCACTGCGGGCACAGGAGGGGCTGCATGAGACCCAGGTCCCGGGGCAGAGACCCCGGTCCCAGGACAGACCTGCCCGAGGCTAGGTCCTAGTTTCAGCGCCCCCAAGACTGGCCGGGACCTCAGGCAAGCCGGAACCGCTCTGCGCATCGGTCTCTGCAAGCAAAGTGGCCTCAAGTCCCCTGCCCTGCTTCCCTCCCAGTGCCAAAAGACCGGTAAAATGACTCGTGGTCTGTCCCAGCAGTGAACTCATGGCTCACTTCTGAGAAAGAGACAAGGGCTGTGGCTCAGTCTGTCCTGTCCTGGCCAGAAGGTTAACTGAGGGCCCCCCTGCAAGCCTGCAGCATATCCTCAGGCCGGAGGTCCCGGCTCCCAGAACTCTCTGCCAGCTGCCGTCCTGAGCTCAACTCGCATCCTATGCCGGGGGTGGGGGTGGGGATGGAGGCAGAGGAGCGTGAGGAGGGAGAGGCAAGGCGATGCGGTGGAGAGGAGGAGAGCAGGTGGAGGGGAAGGAAGGGGCTCAGGGAGGCCACCCACGGCTACGCTTCCCTCCCCCAGGCAGGCTGCTACACAGCCACAAATAACTCTATACGGGCCAGGCAGGAAGGTGTCAGGGTTAAGAGGGAGGGTCTACACGGCAGTGCCATCCAACCGTGCTTTCCACAGCGATGCACGTTCTATGTCTGTGTTGTCCCATGTGACAGCCACGAAAATGTGGCCGGTGGGACTGAGGAACTAGGTCTCTAACAATGTGTTTAATTTTAACTTAGTTAAGAGGAAGTTGAAAGAGCCACACGTGGCCAGTGGCTACCACATGGGAGAGCACACAGGCAGAGCCCAGATACCTGCTCTTCCTTCTGGTTTGTTTTGGGAGCTCCAGGAAGCACAAGTCCCATCTCCCCTCCTGGGGGGTGGGGAGGCCTCAGAAAAGTAGGCCTGCTTTTCCTGCCTGGACCCTTCCAAGCCCCACTTCCCTGGTGCAGACTGAGCCTTCGGCAGGTAGGGCGTGGCTCAGTCCTGGTGTCTGCCTGCTTCTGCCGCCTTCTGGCCCCATCTCTCCTCAGTCGCCCTCATTCTTGGGCTCCCGGAGGTTCCTGGCCCCCGGGAGAGCTGCCAGAGGAGGCCCTCAAGGGCTTGGCTCTGCCTCCTGATGTTCTCCCTGACCACTGGGGGACATCAGCCCAGCCCCCCCTCCCCCCTCTGAGCTGGGCCCAGGGCCTCACTGCTGATTTTATGATTCTGGAATGATTTGGAAATTATGGTTTAATTACCACAGGCCAATCTGCCTGAGCAGCTTTACTGCTCTGGGGCTGCCACAGCACAGCGTGGGGAGGAAGCTGACCAGCCCCTTGGGGCTGACGCTGGGCAGCGGGTTTCCTGGAGAACCTAGTCCCGCTGTTGGGGGTACAGTGAGGGGCTCCGGATTGACGGTGTGGGCCTGGGTGCTGGCCCTGTCACAGAGAGGAAAGCTGAGGGTGCAAGGCAAAGAGCGCCAGCTTTGGCCACATAACTAGTTAGATTCAAATCCTGGCTGGATCCCCGGTCAGCCCCTTCCTCTCTCTGAGCCCCATCTTCTTCCGTCATGGGAGGCTCGGGACGGTATCCTTTCTGTCAGCTGCTGGTCTGCCTGTCTGCACGCGATGGAGGCCGTGACACGTGCAGCGCCGGGGGCCGGGGGACCCCATGGAGGGTGGGTGAGGGGGCACCTTCGAGTCTCCCTGTTCTCCACCCTGCCCTGCACCCTACACCCTGGAAAAGCCAGTCAAGGAGAGCCAGGGATCCCCCAGAGGAAAGAGGACAGCCATGAAATGGGACTTACGGTGGCTTTTGGGGTCACTTAGAGTTTTCTTATCTGTCGAGGGAAATAAAGGGAAAGACAATGACATAGGTGGCAGAGAAAGGGTGGTGAGTGACAGGAAACGCGCAGATGAGATGATGCACATGGCGGGTGGCAGAGGTCCCCAGGGGCTGCTCCACCGCAGCCCGCACCGGAGGCCTGGGGCAGGCTGGGGGTGGGGCCCCCACTCGTCCAGCTCGAGGCCCTCCCCCCCCAGGGGGCCCTGCCGTCCCAAGGACTCACTCTGCACGCACAGCCCGTCCGTGCAGTTCTTGGAGTCGAGCAGGGTCCCGCTGCAGTCTCGGCCTCCGTTCTGGGGCGGGGGCGCCATGCACTCACGGCTGCGCCAGTGGGCACACTCGGTGCTGCAGGCCGACCACTTGCTCCACTCCGTCCACGCTCCGTCGACTGTGGGAGCACGGCACACAGCACGTGGGACACGGCGCGCGGTTCCGCACACAGAGCACAGCAAAGCACCCGCACGCGTCCCCGCGTGCTACGGCAGGAGAGGGAGCCAGACGCAAGCACAGCCACCCCCAGCCACGCGGCCCTGTGCCAGTGCAGCCGGGGGCACTGGGTGGGCAGGCAGAACACACACACACGCGCGCGCACACACACACACACACACACACACGGTCCCTCCCACAGACGCAGCCCAGGGCGCTCACAGGGACTCAAACCCAAGGCAAACACACAAAAACCCAAGAGCCCGGACAAAACCAGGCATGCAAGGGACCCACAGAAGGGGACGCACAGGGTGAGGCGAAGGTGAGAGGAGAGAGGACCTTTGCAGGATTAGGGGCGGCGGACAAGACGTGTCTAGGTCAAGGGCAGGAGCACAGGCTCCTATTGACCCCAGGCAGGGCTGGGACCCCGGCCCTGGGGGCTGACACTGAGAACCCTCAGCCTGGAGGGCAGGAGAGCCCACCCGTCCGACGGCAGCTCTGTGTCTGTGTCTGTGTCTCTAGCAGCCGGGCGCAGAATGAGGGCAGAGCCCGCGGCATCCTGTCCGGCCTGCTCCGCCAGCCACGGGCCCCAGGACAAGCCCCTTCTGCCCCCCACAGTGGGGAGAGAACAGCCATCCTGAGTGTGGCAGCTGGCACCAGCACAGAAAGCAGGGCTGGGCAGTGGGGTGGGAACCGGGGTGGGTGGGCTGCCGGCTGGCCCGCGGCCTTACCTGGGCACACGGTGGTGCAGGCGGTCTTTTGGAAGGCCTGGCCCTCACAGAAGGCGCCTCCATTGAGCGGGGCCGGGTTGGTGCAGGTCCGCGTGCGCTTCTGCCAGCCACGGCCACAGCGGTTGGAGCAGGGTGACCACTCTGCCCAGCTGGACCAGCCACCGTTCACTGCAAGGGCAGCGGGTGTCACGTGCTGGGCCTGGCTCTGCGACCTGTGGGCCCCCTAACCCCGTCTCCAGCGCCCACGAGGCCCTTCTGCTGAGGCCTGGCCTTTCCTAACTGGACCCCTCCTGCCGTAGCACTGGGGACAGATCTGGGCTACAGCCGTCAGCACCAGAGGGGACCAGGGAAGCCACGGTCTATCCCCAGCCTCATTGTACGATGACAAACGACGGTCCAGAGACGGCTGACGCTTACCCAAGGTCACCCGGTAATGGAGCCCGAAATAGGGTTCTTTCTACCACACTCGAGGCATCTCAGCTATGGCTCTGCCCCTCCTACCCAAGGGAACAGCAAGGAAGAGCTTGCAGGCCTAGGTGGCCGTTCCTCACTCTGCTGGGACGCCAGGCTCAGGCATGAGGATACTCACTGGGCCCCGGTCCAACCCCAAACCCAGGAGGGCCTGACTTGACTGCTAGCTTTGCTGTGTGATCTCGGTGAAGGCACCTCCCCTCTCTGGGCCTCAGCCGCCCAGCTGTCCACCGGGGCCCTGCTGGCCTCCTGGGTAGGACGCGGTGAGTGGGCAGACGGCCCGGCTCTCCCGCGCCCCTGGCCGGGCTGCCCCCGCGTGGGCCCGTACCGTAGACAGTGATGGTCGCGGTGGTGCTGCGGCGTTTGGCTACAATGTTCTTGGCCACACAGGTGTAGTTGGCCGTGTCCGACAGGCGGGCCTGGCGGATGATGAGGTTGTGGTCGATGGTGAGCAGGAAGTTGGTGTCCTGGGTGGGGTCGAGGACGTCCTCATTCTTTAGCCACTCCACCTGCAGGAGTGCGGTTGGGGGGCCGTGAGGGCCCGATGCCTACTCACCTGCATCCCGGGGAGTGGGCCCTCTGTGGAGGGGAAGGGAGGGCGGCCATAACCAGGACAGCAGTTCTATGCATGGCCGCCCACGGTGGTGACACGGTGAGGCAGGCCCGCCACGGGCCAGGCCCTGTGCTGGGCGGTACAGAACCCAGTGGTTGTGACAACCACCCAGCAGCTGGACGGCCTCAATTTCATCAAACGGAGGGTGGCATTTATTAGCATCTACCCCACAGGGCTGTTGCAAGGATCAAACACGTTAGTGTGGAAAGTGTGGAGAACAGTACTTAGCTCCCCGTACGTGCAAAATAAGCATTAGCTAGTAGTGCATGCCTTCACCATTAAGGCAAAGGCCACGTGGGGTGCATCATGTTTAGGCCCCCGCATTATGGAGACCCTTTGGTGTCCATAAAGCTGGCGCTTTGGCTTCTGGGTGGGGAAGGAGGATTCGGCCACAGGCTTAGTCTTACAAGAGACTGAGCCTGGGGCCTGCCTGAGTAGCCCTTGGGGATCTTGCCCCAGCTCTGCCCCATCCCTCGGGGTTATGCCTGTGGAGGGCCTGGCTGGGGTCCACACATTCTGAGTTCTGCAGAGGTGGTAGTTCCCTTCTCTGCCTCAAGCCTTGATATTCCCATCTATGAAATGGGGAGAGCTCTGGGAGGCTGAGGCACCGTGGCTGGTAGTAAACACCAAGTCTGGCTGGTCTCTGCCACGCCAGTATTCCGCTCGTCCCCGCTCACCTCAGCCACAGGCACCCCCTCCGGTGGGCGGCACTGAAGGAGAACCTCCTGGTCCAGGGGCACTTCCTTGCCCAGAGGCTCCTGATCGAAGTTCTTGCGCAGGTCTGGGAGAAGGAAGAGGGGTCACCAGGCGCAATGAGGTGGAATTGAAGCCTGAAGCACCCTGCTCTAGCCACTAGGTGGGAGTGCACACCAAGGGAACGGGCTCGACCTGGGGCATTTCCTTTTCACAAAAGTGGGGCCTCACCGGGTGGAGCTGGGGGAACAGGTTTCCCTCCCTGACTCTGGGATACTAAGCACAGAACAACCCAGGATGGTGCGGAAGCAGGCAGCTCCTTTTACAGAAGTCAGTGAAAGGGGCCGTTAGAAATCCTGAGGCCAGAGGTGGCCCCGTTCTGGGTCTAGGAGGCTTCTTTTCAGTGGGCACCCATGGGCCCTGACGTCCCTGTGGTGGGCATCTTCAGCCAGGGATGCCCCCACAGAGGAGGAACTTCCTCTCTGCGGGGGGCGGGCACGGGCAAGGGGAAGGGGCCCCGGGGAAATGGGGTGGGGGTGTCCAGATGGCATACATGCAATGCGGACATAGGCCCGGCGACTCTTGGTGGTGCCGGCGGAGCTCCAGGCCACGCACTGGCACCAGTAATCCTCCAGCCCAAACAGCTCCTCCACCTGCTGCCGGGACACCTCGATCTGGACCTCGCGTACCCGCAGGCCTGAGAGGGGGAGACGGATGTCAGCAGGGGGCGGGGCTGAGGATAGGAGGCAGGGGCCATGGCACCGGGACATCTGGCTCTCTTCTGCCAAGTGCCTCCCGTTTCCATGTATTTCCCTGGCCCGAGCCGCCACTGCTACTCCCCTGAAGACTGCCCCGGCTAACGCAAGCCCTCTGCCCCCCGTGCCAGCCACGTCCTGCCTTAAAGCCGGGGTGTGCTCTGCAAAGTGCACAAATGCTGCGTCACTCCCCTGGTTGTGCCTCCAGTCCTCACAACACAAAGACCTCGATCCTCCACTTGGCCGCCAGGCCCTACACCGTCTATCCACCACAGCCTCCCTGGGCATCTTCCCCACAGCCACAGGGCCTTTGCACATCTAGTTCCCTGCCTGGAACTCTCTTCTGTCCCCCCTGCACCCAATGGACTCCCAGTCACCATCAGCTTTGGGCTGGGTCTCACTTCTAGACGGAAGGCCCCTCTGACCCTGGCCCACGCCAAGTACCGCACTGAGCACGACCGGCTGTGCAGTTCTTTTTCCCTGCCCAGTCTGTTTTCCCCACAGCACTGACCACTCTCTGGAACTGTATCATCTATTGATGTGGTCATGTATGAATTACATATTTCCTGCAGGAGAATAAAGCAGGGCTTTGCCCTGTTTACTGCTGGGGCCCAGGATCTGGCACAGAAAAGGTGTTCCACAAATATGTGAAGACAGCATGTGGCCTCTCTCTGGGTAGGAGCTGGAGCTGGTGGGAGGCCCCTCTTCCTGGGAGCCCTCCAATCTCTCAACAGCTCCCTACTAGGGCCTGGAGGCCTCTCTGGATAATTGGGTCCACCAGCCTGCCCAGGAAGGATCAGTCACTCTTCTGCCAACCCTCGACAAAGCCCCTTATGCTTAGAAAAGGAACGAACCCTTCTGGATTAGGATGCCCATCCAAAGCTCTTCCCCAAAGCTTGTGGGAGGACAGCAAGGCCTCCTCCTCCAGGAAGCCCTTCCTGACTACCCCCATTTTCAGAATCCCTAAAGCCGCTCCTCCCTGCCATGCGTACCAGCTCTTCCTCTCATGCTTACACATGGGTTCTGATAAGCCCCTCGAGGGCAGGATTGCCAACACTCCGTGGTACTGTGGCATGGTGGTCAAGTGTAGGGTTGGATGGCTCGACAGGTCTGAATTCTGGGCCCAACCTGACTCCCCAGCTGTGTGACCTTCACTCAGTTACTCAGCCTCTCTGAGCCTCAGTTCCCTCATCATAGTAACACACTCAGCAGGACAATCACTCTGCCATAGCACCCAGCCAAGGCTGAATACAAATCTACTCTGGAAGGTCATGCGGATCTCATCCAGGGTCCTTCCACATGTGAACGCAGAGAGGGTCGGTGGCAGGCCCAAAGTCCCACCTCAAGGTGCGAGCAGGGCTGAGATCAGCTATCTGTGTCTTGCCCTGGTTAAGCTCTACTCTCCCAGTGAAGTGCATTGCCTTAGCTCTCCTGGATCATGGGGTAGGATGGCCTTCGCACTGGGAGCCCAGACAGTGAAGAAAACCCCAGGGATCTAAGTGGGAGGGGGCTGGGGGTCTGCCATCAGGGAGCATCAGGAGGGAAGAGGCTACTCCTGGGGGAGTGGCTGTGCCTGCTCACAGTGGCTGCCCGGAGTCCTGGCTCGACAAGCAATGCGGGATGGCCCAGGCCACCACAGCTGGGCCCCCCGCCCCTCATTCACCGGGCTGTGAAACTGGAAGGGGGGTCCCTCACAAGGGGGTCATCCATCCAGAAGCCCCCAACAGCTGGACAGACAAACCATCACCCAGTGGGACTCAACACCGTGGTGATGGTTACCAGCAGACCTGGGACAAGGACCTTCAGTCTCCCAGACTCGGGCCCCAGCACCAGGTGTGCCCCGCTCCGGCACGGCGGCCACCTGGCAGGTGGTGTCTGGGCCGGGACACCCAGGCTTGCGCTGCTTGCCCCGACCCGGCATGAGCTGGTGGCTGGGGGACTCGTCTCGGCTCTTCTGGCCCCCAGCTGTCACCCTCTGTTCTTTCAGGGCCTCCAAGAGTGCCAGGGTGGGGAGCAGGAGGCTGAGGAGGAACCAAGCCACACGGCCGCCAAGGGAGTGCCCACAGGACCGCGGTCTATTCTTTGTCACTAATGGGGACCAGAGTGCCCCAATTTCGGGGGCTGGCAGGGCTCGCGTGCCTGGTAGCAGGGGAGAAGGAGCCATGCTGTTACTATTACTCGTAATTACAGGGTTTGTGAGAGGCCCCAGCAGGGTACACCATCCCTTTGCTCGGTCTGGACCCCCACCACTGACCTCCGATCGGGGCCAGAGGGGCTCAGGGGCACAGAGAAATAAGGACAGGTTTCAAGAGGAAAGAGGCCAAGAAAAAGCCAGAAAGAGAACAGAAGAAATGGGGTTTCCTGAGTGCCTGCTGGGTCCTGGCGCTATGCTCAACACCGCGCAGGCCCCACCGTGTTCCACCCCCATGGGGACCTTCTGTTAACGTCCAGTTTACAAGGAGAGGGAGTGAGGCTCAGAGAAGCTGACGGACCTCCCAGAGTCACACAACCAGGGCCTGGGAGCAGCTGCGGTAGGTTTCTTTTCTCTCTCTTTTAAAAATCCCTTATTTTATTTTTTAGATCTTGGGGGAGCATGAGACTCCAAATCAATTTTCTAAAATTCTGTCAAGATGTTGGTAAAATATATATATAACCTAAAACTTGCCGTTTTAACGTATACAGTTGAGTGGCATTACGTACATTCTGGGGTATGGTTTCAAGTCTGGGTGGTACTGAAATCTGCAAGCTTTTCACAGAAAAACGAAGTTGGAGGAGGGAGAAAGGAGACAGAGAGACGGACATAAGGGCAGACAGACAGAGACCGGGGCGAGAATGGAGAGGCGGGAGAGGCAGAAGGAAACAAGAGAAGGCTCCAAAAGAAGGGAGAGAAGGGTGAGGGAAGAGGTGGTAGCAGCAAGACCAAAGCAGAGGCGGGCCGTGGGGCGAGGGGTCCCGGGAACCCGCGCCTGGCTGGGCTGCCTGACACTGGCCACCTGCAGCCCACCAGCAGCAGCATGGCCCCGCTCCCTGGCCTGGGCCCTGGAAAGGACCCCCTGAGGGGCCTGGGGACACAGAAGCCCACACCTGGCTTCGGGGGCACTGCTGGGGGTGCCCGGGACCCCGCTTGCATCTTCCTCTCAGGATCCGGGCTACGTCCTGGCACCACCTCTATGGTTATTTACTTACTAATACCAACCTCGTCTTTTAACCGAAAACAGCTGATGTCTACGGAGGAGACGCATCCTTCTCACGAACGGGGACACAACAGCTCCCCACAAACACAGAGGCCCTCTGACACTAACGATGGTCTAGGATTCTGGGTATGTGCTGGGGGCCAGGGCTGCAGACAGGGCAGCTCCTCTTCATTATGCAAGGGGCAGAGCAGGTGCTGGGTGTGCGTGCGTGCCTGTAAGAACTCTAGCACCGCCCCCACCCCCCGTTGCTCCCCCCACTGCTCCCTGATGTAAGCTGGAGATGGGGAGGAAAGGATTCGGTGCTCTTTCTTTGGTAACCCAATCAGACGGGGACATGTGGTCAACCGTTGGGGAGATACGGATCCAGGATGAACCCCAGAGGGGAAACTGAGGCCCAGGGGCTGCCATGGCTGTGTGAAGTCTCACACGGAGCCCAGGGTGGAGCCAGGCCCAGGACCCAGCGTCCCTGGCACCCCTGGGCCCTGGTGTCTTGGGGGTGACCGGACGAGTGGGGCAGGCTCACCCGTGGCCTCATCCAGGCCCTCCTGTGTGACGTGGTCATTCTGGCTGACCCACTCGCCGTTGCACTTGAAGTAGATCTGCGTGGCGGGGAAGGCACGGCAGCGCAGCTCCACAGGCTTGTTCTTCACGATGTAGGCGTCCTGGGGCTCCTGCAGGAAGTGGGGCAGGGGCTCAGCCGGCGCCGACGGGAAGGAGTCGGGGAGCACCTCGCTGCCAGAATCCGTGCCTGTGGAGGGAGGGTGGGCTCCGTGAGGCTGCAGGCTAGGAGGAGGGGATGGGCAGCTGGAGACCAGCCGGGACGCCCTCTGTGACCCGGGCAAGGTCTGGCACTCCTGGGGGCCTCAGTTTCCCCATCCCACCCAGCTCTTAAGAGCTTGTGCTTTGGAGCCAGTCCTAGCTCTCTGATACTGGGCGATTCTACTTCTTTACAGATCAAGATGTCAGGGTGGCCTGGAGAGCTGAAGTGATCCGTCTGGACAAGGATACCCCTCTAGCCCTCCCCAGTGTCCCCTGCACTGGACCTACTGAGCCTCCCTCCAGTTTCCCACGGTGATGCCCCAGGACGTGAAGGTCTGGAATGGGGCTGAGGCCGGAGCACAAAGCAGGCCAGCTCTGCCCTGAAGCCACAGCTGCCCTTTGCAGCCCCGGCCAGCCAGGCTGGTACAAGTGGAGAGATAAACCAGGACCCACAGAGGCATGAGGTGGGGTGAGGTGGGGTGGGTGGCTGCACCGGGCCTGGATTCCTTGGAGCTTGGCACCCGCACGGGGCCTCCTCCTCCAGAATGCCCAAGGCAGGCAGCAGCATGGAGCGGGAGACCACCTCCCCAGCAGCCTTTACGAAGAGCCCCCCCTCCTCTGGGCTGTGACTCTGCCCCACTCCTTAGCCTTCCTTAGCCTTTTCCACCTCAGCCAAACCCACACCCTCCACCCTAACAACAGACAAGAAAACTGCAGAGCCTGGGAACGCAGATAGGCTGTGCCTGCAACGTCCTCCCCAACAAGGGGCCAAATGGGAACACTGGCCCATCGGCCTCCCTGGAAACAACAGTGCCTCATGAGGTGAGACAAACAGGAAAGGAGAGGGCCCGGCCACCACCAGCGCTGGGAGGGAGGGAAACCAGGCCAGGCCAGCCCATTGGTTCACCATCCACTTATGCAAATTGACTTTCCAACACCAAGCGCCAAACAGTCAGGTGGCTGGGACAAACGGTGGGGGCTAAGCTCCAGAGGGAACAATGAATTAAACTGCAGGGGTGTGCATCCGCCCAGCCCCTCACAGCCGGCCATGGCTTGCCACTGTTGCACAACCCAGTCCCTCAAGTGGGGTGGGGCCCCAGGAGGCACTTATCCCCCAACCCAGGAGGCCATGATGGGCCATGCATTGGCCCCTAGGTGCAAAGGGGCCAAGGGGACACTGTTCTCCAAGAGCAGAATGAACAAAACATGCCATCTCTTTGTGGACCAGGAGCTCCTGCTAAGACTTGGGGTGGGGGTGGGGGGGTTCAGGCGCTCTGAGAACACGCAGAGGTTGTCACTGGCTCCAGGCAATCCGTCCCGGGTGGAGACTGTGTGTGTGTGACCTGCGGGAGCGAAGGGGAAGCCCGCAAGAAGGTGTGAATCCAGCTCCATCTAGCATGTTCTGTGTGACCCTAGGATAGCCCTTTAACTCCCAGCACGTTACTTCATCTCTGAAGATGGCAGGGAGGTGAACACCCTCCCCTGGGCTGTTTCGAGGACCACACGAGCTAGAGAAGCATGAACACCCAGGAGGGGCCTAGCACATAGTAGGTGCAAAGCTGTTGCATGAAAATGGCAACTAATGCTCACCTCGCATTAGGTACTGTGTTGTTAGTACTGTATGCAGTCAGCTTACCTAACTCTTGCAACAACTCTGTAAGGTACTTATGTTAGTCTTTGGCTTATATGTGGGGCAACTGAGGCTCCGAGAGGTGAAGCAACTTGCTCTAGCGCACAGAGCTAGCAAGAGGTAGAGCCAAGGTTTGAACCCGATAAACAGACCCCGGCATCTGGGATGCTGCCCACACGGCCTGCCACTGGAGTAGCTCAGTAACATGGTGAGTGTCCCCGCATCCGAGAATCCTGATACATCTTGACACCAGCCAGGACCCCACAACTCTAAGAGCTCTCTCATTAAAGGGTCAGCGAGGTTGGAACGGTCCTTGTTTTGAAACTGAAGACCATCTGCGTGGGGTAATGACTGACCGAGGCTCCCTGGCTAGTGGGCAGCTAAACTGGGAAGAGCCCTGAGGATACTGGGGCTTCTCCATGCCCACTTCCCTCTGTCAGGCAGGAAGACCCCTTCTTTGTAGGTAGAAGACTAGCAGCCCCTAGGCTCTGGGAGCTTGGGCAGTTGATGGCAAGATGAAACAGTGCCCAGGGAGCTGGACAGTGTCTCCCACCAGCCTGAGAGCGGGTGGAGCCAGGAGGGCATGTGGGCAGCAGAGCACCTGCAAGGTTCCAAGCCCCTCCAACTGCTGTGAGCACCCTGCTTCAGTCTCAGGTATGGGGGGTGTGAGGCAGGGCGCAGACTTCAGACGCAGCCACCTCTGGTTCTGAAGTCGCCCTTACTGACCTCAGGCACCTCATCCGTGAGATGGGGGGACCAGGCCTCCCTCTGGAGGGTGGGAGAGAAGGTGCACGGGAGCCTGTGGGTCCAGGCACCTGCTAGCTCTCCTTTCTAACTGTGCGGCCCCCAGCCCCCAGGTGATGGCTGTCTTGGCTCTCTGCGGCACTGCAGACTGTATTTACGACTTGGTTTTATAACCCTAATGCGGCTCATTTATAAAGCAGGTGCAGACGCAGCGGAGGAAAGTAAACACGAGACATCCATTAGTGCAGCAGGGCCCGAGCCTGGCGGCCCCTGGCCCCACCTCTCCTCTCCACCCTGGCACAAAGCTTCCTCTCTGGCCTTGCCAGGGATGCGGCTGGGGATCCTCATCGGTGCCTCTCTGGCCCAGCCGAGCAGGGGAGCTCTCGATGTAGCTATTTGCAACATCCCCACCCCCCAGGTGTCCTGGATTCAGATGTTGCCAGGGGACAAGGACCAGGTCTGACCTGAGAATTCCTCCCCAGGCGGACCACCAGCAGACTGTACGCTTGCCAGGTATGTAGTAGGTGCTCAGTGAATGCAAATTCAATAAAATTGCTAAGCCGGGCTCCCGCCCTCATCAGTGGACACTTCTCCCTGGCTTGGGCCCTCGAAGTTGAGGGAGGCTCCACAGGCATCCCAGCTGAGGGCCAGCCTAGAGGGAGAAGAGTGATGGAGTTTCAGGGTCCCCGGGGGGGCTTCCTCTGCCTGAAGCTTTCCTCTGAACTCTCGGAGGCTTGCATCAACCCACACACAGCTTCTGAAACTTCTTTGGTCTTTAGTGTCTTGGTAATTTTTATCCCAAGGTCAAAAGAAATTCCTAGTGGTTCTGTTTATTAAATAGTTAGATCCAAACAGCTTGTGTCTGTGTGTGTGTGTGTGTGTGTGTGTCCTTCCTAACAACTTGGTAGCCATATTGTTGAAAAAACAATACCCATAAGTAAGTCAGAGGGGGAGACGAACCATGAGAGACGATGGACTCTGAAAAACAAACTGAGGGTTCTAGAGGGGAGGAGGGTGGGGGGATGGGTCAGCCTGGTGATGGGTATTAAAGAGGGCACGTTCTGCGTGGAGCACTGGGTGTTATGCACAAACAATGAATCATGGAACCCTACATCAAAAACTAATGATGTAATGTATGGTGATTAACATAAGAATAAAAAAATTAAAAACAAAAAACAATACCCATAAATCGGAGGAAAAAATAAGATTCGTATTCCATTCCTAAAGAGCCACACTGGCTAGTCATGGGGGTGTGCACACTGCTTGGGCACAGCTTCTCAAGTCTTGGAATCAGACTGGCCCCTCCACCCTCATTGTCTGTCTCAGAGTACTTCCAAATGCTCAAATCCCACCTCTGCAAAGACAGGATGCTGTGTAAAGGACAGAAGTGTGATACAATGTTGAAATCGAAAGCTATCTTGAGCAAACAGTTGTGGCAGTGTCTAGCAAGCTGTTCAGCTCAGCTGTCTTTCCTCTAAGATGAACAATTTCCCAGAGCACCCCTGGGAATGCGTGCAGCACCCTGGGGTGCTTTGGCACACCGTTTGGGAAACTTATTATTATGCCCCTCCTACAGCCGAGGAAACAGAGGCCAAGAGAGACGAAGTAACTGGCGCAGGGCTGTACAGCCAGGAAGCAGCAGAGAGCGAGGGAGCAAATCCGGGCATTCGGGTACCTGAATCTGACTTCTGAATTAGAATTGGCATTTGCTTCCACTATGTGGCAGGTACTTAAATATTTTGCCCAATTTACTTCCCACAACCCCCAAGGTGAGGATTATCTTCCCATTTTCCAGATGAAGACATGGGGCACCCAGGGACTTGCCCCATGGCAAGGTCCCCTTGTCGGTGGGAGGAAGGACCGTCTCTCCCCGTCACCTGTCACCCTGGCTTCGCTACAGCTCTTCACAGAGGAGACTCAAACACTGAGAAGAGCCCCCAGCAGAGGACAGCCTGCTTCTGCCAGGCCAGATCCGGATCTGGAGTTCCAGCTGGCGGGAAAATATCCCACGTCAAGTGCATTTTTCTAATAGCACAACTCATTTAAAATGCAACCTGCCTTTAAAGCCACATACACGAATGGCCTGGCTATGCCAAGATGAGGGTAGGAGGGCACATCCTCGAACAGATGTAACCACAGACGGTCAAACGTGGGAAAACGCCAGGATGTCTGGGTCTGCACCCCAGCTGGGGACTGGTGTCGCCGCTGGCCTTCCTCTGACCACACAGCCCCCATCTCGAACACCGAGAAGCTGGTGGAACCAATCTCTCAAGCCTTACTCTGATTTGATCACGTTGAGATTGGAAGGTGTCTTATGTGGAATCTGTCCGTGTAGGATGGTGTCCCACTGGGTCCATTTTTAATTCCTGAAGCGAATTTCCTTCAAGTGTGGTCACCTTTTTTTTGCCACTGTTACTCCTCGCTCAAAGGCCCCGCACAGACCGTGGTCCTACGGCACTATTTGCTGCTAGGCTCTCCCAACCAAGCCCAGGCCCTCCTGCCCCAGGCCTCAGCTCACCAGGACCACCAGCACCTCCAGGTTGGACCTCTGGTGGGCGCCATTCAAACCCTCCCTTCCTATTTACTTACAGCTGCCTGAGGGCTCTTGTCGGGTG